AAAAAAAAAAAAAAGAGTGAGTGAATGAATAAAGCAACGCTCACCAACACAACCAGCAAGGAAGAGGGACAGTAAATGGTGCTTTGTGACAACCAAGGGAGTTGCCGTCTTAAAGGCAATGATTGAACCTATGTTGTCATTGTTATTTGCTGTCAAGTCGGACTCGACTCATAGCGACCCCTCCTTGGGTTTCCGAGGCAGTATCACTACGGAACTAGATTGCCCCATCTTCCTTCCAAGGAGTGGCTGGTGGACGCAGAAATATCCTTGAGGCTGCCACATTATCTTAAGGTCCCTGGGTGGTACAGGTGGTTTGAACCCACCTAGAGGTGCCATGGAACTAAGACCTAGTGACCAGCTGCCATTAAAAATTACAGCCAAGATAACCCTGTGGGGCAATTCCACCACAGCATGCGGGGGGGGGGTCACCATGAGTTGTAACTGACTCGATGGCAATGGGTTTAGTTTTGGTTCAATTATGTTGTCGTAAAGGAAAAAAAATAGATAAGGATGCTGAGTTTAAGACATGAAGCGTGTACCCTGTGCTACTACTATCTTTTGTCAAAGAGACAGCTGCAGCCCTACTTAATTGAATCGAAAGGCCACATGGTTGTGGTTTGGAAGCGTTTTGTGTGGATTGGGGTGGGGAGGGCAGTTGGCAGGAAGCTCAGATCAAGGATCATGTGTTGGGGAGTTCACGTAAGGTTTAGACAGTGAAATTCAGACTGTTTCCAGATATTTCTAAGGGATGAGAGAAACTATTGAAAATAATATTAATTGCTATTTGCATCCATGGAAAAGGCCCCAGCAATGTGCAGAACTAGAGTTGTGAAGTAAAAGCCAGCCATCAGAGCTATCCTTTCACTGGGGGTGCAGAGCAGGAGGAAACCAGCTTCCAAAGCTGGGGTCCCCACACTAGACCAGGCCCCACAGTCCCCTGGAGGGCTTGTTAAACACAAACTGATGAGGGCTTATGGTTTGATCTTACACCAATTGTGTTAGGACCAGAGGACTACAGTCTGTACTCTGAAGGAAATGAAAAATAAAACCCCATGAACTGTTGTGTCCTAACTCTTGTTGTTGTTTGCCATTGAGTCAGACCCATCTCATAGTGACCCCTCCTCAGGTTTCTGAAGCAGTATTACCACGGAAGTAGATTGCCCAGTCTTCCTTCCGAGGAGTGGCTGGTGGTTCAAACTTCTGGTTAGCAGTCAAGTGCCTTAGGCACTACGCTACCAGAGCTCTAGAGCTTCTGATTCAGCAGGTCTGGGGCAGAGCCTGGAAATCTGTATTCCTAACAAATCAGGAGGTGATGCTGAAGCCACTGCTGGTCCAGGGACCATTGAGGGAAGCACTGATCCAATGAAAAGCCACAAAAGTGAAGTCAGACATCCCTGTCCACCATGACCTCATGGAAAGGGCCCCACCCACCCCTCACTCAAGAGATGGAACCAACTTACTCGTCTGCATCTTTTTTGCTCTCTTCAATGAAGGCAATGGACTCAGATCTAAGGCGGTTGGTCACTTCATATGTCCGCAGGGTGACCCCAAAAATATCTTCATGGTACCGGTTGTCATCCTAGGGGACAGCAACAGCCAGAGAACAGCCCTCAGTGCCAGGCAAGAGTTTGGAGCCAGCCCTGGAAAGGAACTGTACCTAAAGACAACAATTTCTAAGGAAACCAGGCTGAATTAATTGTCCCCTGGGGCACCCGTCAGTAACACCCTCTGCCCTCCAAGGCATGGGGTTCCTCTGGGCTGGGTTGCTGCAGCTTTGTCCATTCTGAGGTCAGAAGGAGTGGTGAGGACACACGGAAACCTCCTATTCCCTCCTCCTTGTTCCTGCAAGTTCAGATCTGAGGCCTGCTGGGTTGAGTGTGAAACATCACAGCCCACAGAGACCAGCAGAGATAGGAGGAAACAGAGTGCCCACTCAGCAGTCAGGAAGCACGTCCCCGTGGCTGCCTCACATGGACATTTCTTGGGGACACATGCGTTTCTCCAAAGATGGGCATCTTTATTCAGCTTTGTTTAGAACAAACCAAAAAAAAAAAAAAAAAAAAAAAGGAGAGGTTCTCCAGGAGACTTAAGAAACAGCACAAGTCACAAGTGACATATAAATTGGTGGCATCTGAGAATTTCTGAAGTACTAGAAACTTCTTTGGCAGAAGCGAGAGATAGGTAAACAACAATATCCTTAATGGGGAGTGGGTTGAGGATTAAACAGGGGGAATTACACCTACATCCTGGTACAGCTATACCAGGTGTTAAAACATTGCAGTACCTGGGTGCCGCCCCGACCCCCTGGCTCTCCTGGCCCCTTTCCTGAGACCCCCTAGACCTCCCCATGATCCAGCAGGAGCGAGCTCCAGTCCTGGGGGGCAGTGGCTGGGATGTACACAGCTCCCAAGTCCTGAAAGTTTTGTAGAAAGTGGCCCATCTGTATAATGCGTCCACTCTCGGTTGGGGTGGTTTTTCTACCTTACTCTGCATAGTACCAGAAATTTGTGAACGTGTCTCCTGAGAGTGACACCGAACAGGCCAGGTGCACGAGGGCCTCCCCAGCTTTCCTCCAACCCCAGACATCTCTACCAGAAAAATTCCTTTCTAAGTGGGGTCTAACATCAACTTAGACTCAGGGATTCTTCTGCAGAAACGTTTGACCGCTGCTCAGCTAGGGGAGCACAGGGAAGAATGGGATCGCCCTGGAGTTTTCTGCAGTTCTGAGATTCTGTTTTTCCTACTTAGGACAGTTATTCACACAGATCTGACTTTGCTTACCAGCTGCTGCTAACTTCTACTGGGCCTTTGTGGAAATCAGGAAAAGGTGCCCCACCCTCGGGGTGGACACAGCTCCTGCCAGGGGCACAGCCTGGAGAGCCAAACATGAAGTGACCTTTAGTCTCTATTTGCTTCCTTAGACAGATCTCTTGTGCAGTGCCCAACCTGCACAACTGCTCAGGGCAGTATTGTGGCTTGGCTCTGAGAGCAAGAAAACTTGGACTAGGCTTGTCTCTAGTCTGCTACACAGAGGCCCACTCGTCTGTTATCCTGACACAGCAAAGCCCCAACCGTGTTTACTACACGCCTCGGACCCGCATGCCCGTCTGCCTGCTTTCTCTCTCAACCATGATTTAGAACCATCTGTATCCTCTACCCCCATTCCTAAGTGGAAAAACGGGAGTAGGGATGTCATCGATGGTCCCTTGGTCATCAAGACGAGTGGGTGAGGAGGAGGAAACAAGAAACCAGAGTCTGGAAAAAGGATGTGGGAAGCCCACTGGGGCGCCACTCACCCTCAGCCTGCTGACAAACACGCCGGCGTCCTCCACCGAGAGTTTCCCCTGCTGCGTCAGGATGCGCTGGATGGCTTTGAGGACGTCGGCAGCCATGGTGACGTCCCCACAGACATAAATGTGGCCTCCTTGTTCCTTCAGGGCTCGGTACAAGGGCCCCGCCAGCTGTTCTTGCAGTATGTCCTGCACGTACTTCTGTGGGGAGCGGGGATAAAGGGACCAGTGAGAGGGGGCTGGGCTCCTGTGTTCACTCAATCACTGCCCCCAGGTGGTTTATTCTGTGAGGTGACCCCAGGGCCAGGGAGGAGGAGAGAGGGGCAGGGGAGAGCGAAGGAGGGAAGGTGAGTGGGCCCATCCCAGAGCATGTGAATGAGCTCCTCACTTCGGGCAACTGGAGCTCACGTGCTGAGGACCCTCCGGGGAGCCGTGTAGAATGCACCCCTGGAGGGCCATAAGGGGGTGGCATTAGTAGCTTGCTACTCTCCCCACAGTGGTCAATGAGGGCTGTTCCCAGCTGCACACGTCTGTGTGTGGGGTTCATTACTCCAAGCATTCTATGCTGGGCGCCAGAGAAGGCCTGGGCAGACAGCAGGAGGTACAGGAGTGGTGAGGGGCTGTTGGGTTCCACCTGCACAGAGCTAGCTAGCACAGCAATAGCTAGGGGACAGGGGGGCCAAGAGGCTGGCACAAGAAGTGTCCGGGACGGCCCTCAGAGAATGTCTGGCTTCTTCAGGATGCCTGTAACTTGTCCAGGAGGCTCCCCGGGACAAGGCCAACATTCAGCCCAGCTGGTCCAGTTGTTAAAACATTGGCAAGAGTTGTAAGTGAAAGCAAACATGGGTATAGGGACGGATAGATGGGTGAACAAGCTAAACAATTAGGTATGTCTAAATGGAGAGTGTATCCAAGATCATATATAGGGTTGGCAGACAATGGGCCGATAAGTTCATGTGAATGATCAGAATTCCCAGGTGTATAGTAGAGCTGACAAGGGGCAAGGTTATGGTCATTACTTGGTCACAGCCAGCTATCCAGAGGGACCGAGTAGTTGATCCTGCGGGCTTGGGACCATAGTCGCAGGGGACATCAAGCTCAATTGGCATAACACACTATACAAAACATTGTTCCACCTACTACTTTGGCGAGTAGCGACTGGGACCTTAAAAGCTAGGAAGCTGCCATCTAGATGCAACAACAGGTCTTTCCTCGTCAAGAAGAAAGAAGAAAACCAAAATTAATGGAAACAATCAGTCCTAGCGACTGGTACACCATCCGATCTGCCACCTATACAACTATGAGACCAGAAGAACTAGATGGTGCCCAGCTACCACTGCCATCCAGTTGGAAGGGATGTAGGAGATCCTGCATAAAGAGGGAGAACAATGTGGTACAAAACTCAAAATCGTTTGGAGGCAAAAAAAAAAAAAAGGTGGGGACCAGGTTTGCTGGTCCAATGGAGCCTGGTGTAACCACTGAGACTATGGCCCCTAGTTGCCCTTCAGGTCTGGAATTGAACACACAACTGTGGTTTCCAGCCAAACAAAGTACAGGCATGTGAGTTAAACATTTACCTCAAGTAGACACACGTCCTGGAGAGAACAATCATGGGAGAAGGAAGGGCTGCTTATGCACAGGGAGATAGCTCAGGGTGCAGAAGAGTATGAAGGGATGGACACTGGGAGGAGGTAACTATGGGGAGGAAGTGGGAGGGGAGCTGCTGCATTGTAAATTTTGGTCAATGACATGAGACAAAGTATATGTGAACTGCTGTATGAAAAGTGAATTTACTCTGTAAATCTTCACCCAAATCCTAATAAAAAAAAAAAAAAAAAAAAGATAAGGACACACACAAAAAAAAAAACATTGGCAAGAAACCACTGCCCAAACCGTCCAAGTGCTGCCCCTGACCCCAGCTGTCCTGAGCCCTTTTGTGGGATGCCCTGGCCTCCCCGTGTTCCAGAAGGAGCAAGCTCCAATCCTGCCTGTGTCCGTTCTGATTAGTCGGTGTCTTTGAAAAAACCAAACCCCTTGCCATGGAGTCAATCTCGACTCATAGCACCCCTATAGGACAGAACAGAAACTGCCCCTTAGGGTTTCCAAGGCTATAAATCTTTACGGAAGCAGACTGCCTTATCTTTCTCCTGTGGAGTAGCTGGTGAGTTCAAAATGCTGACTTTTTGGTTAACAGTCAAATGCTTTAAGAGCTATGTCACCAGAGCTCCTTTGGTGTCTCTTCCAAACTAAAAACCAAACTCACTGCTGAGCTAGTTCTGACTCATAGTGATCCTCACTGGGCTTCTAAGGCTATCAATCTTCACAGAACCAGACTGCCTCATCTTTCTTCTGTGAAGCAGTTGGTGGGTTTGAATCTCTGACCTTTTGGTTAGCAGCCGAATGCCTTAACCACTACACCACCAGAGCTCGTTTGGTATATCTTAAGTATAAAAACAAATTCACTGCCATCGAGTCGATTCCAATTCATAGCAACTCCCGTTGGGTTTCTGAGGCTGTAAATCTTTATGGAAGTAGATTGCCCCACCTTCCTTCCACAGAGCAGCTGGTGGGTTTGAACTGCTGACCTTCTGGTTAGCAGTTAAATTCCCTAGGCACTGCGTCACCAGAGCTTAAATATTTTACAGAGATATGTTTCCTCTCCAAGCATCCTGTAGTCCCAAGCCATTTCATAAAAGGGGGTTCAGGAAGGGTAAGAAGAGGGTGGGACCAGTGGTGGTTCAGTGGGTGGAACTCCCACCTTCCATGACAGAGACCTGGCATCGATTTCTGGCCAGCACACCTCATGCTCACCGACCACCCAACTCTCTAAGTGGAAGCTTATTTGTTGCTATGAACAGGTTTCAGTAGAGCTTCTAGACTAAGACACACTGGGAAGAAAGGCCTGGCAATCTAATAGACATCAGCCAATAGAAACCTCACAGATCACAACTGTCCGATTTGCAGCCAATCAGGGGGATGCAGCTATCGTTCTGTTGTACATGGCGTTGCCATGAATCAGGGGCCACCGTGAGGGCAGCTAACAACAACAACAACGATGGCGACAACAAGGGGGTGGTTTCCAGCAGTGCTGTGCATGAGGCCTGAGTGTATGTACATGGCGGTGTTGGGCTGGGGTGGGTGGGCTGTGAACAGGTGGGGTTACCTTTGGTTTATCTGGCTCCCGGGAGTAGGCCGTGTACAGTTCTCTGAAGACCCCCTTGTTCTTGGCCTGTAGGGTCTCTTCCTTGTAGATGTGGTCTATCTTGGATTGCCGGCACCCAAAGACCAGGACCATGGGGCAGGGACTCATTCCTGGGGACCAGAAAGACCTCGTGTCACTAATGGCACTGATCCCTGACTGGGGGTGGTGGTGGCTAATGCTTCCAGGGGTGGGGTGCTACCATTTAAGTAGATGCCAGAGGCAAAGAGTACGTGAACAATGGGAGTGGGTGGAGACGTGTACACACGCATATACCACACACACACTCACCTGTGTACACACGTGCACAGAGCTCAACCTACATATGTGCACACATGCACACACAGTTCACACACACACACACACACTGAAGAAGGAGGGAAAGGCCGTTCAGACTCTGGCAGACCATCTGGGGGTCTGAGGCCTTCCTTCTACCCGTTGGGTACTTAGTAGCCCCACCATTTTAGGGCTAAGAGCCCAGCTCTGGAGCTAGACTGCGTAGCTACAAATCTCAGCTCTACGTGCCAGTGAACAACTGACTCAACCTGTAGATGCTTCAGTTTCCCCATTTAATAACAATAGTTTCTACCTGAGAAGGTTATTGTGATGTAAAGCGTTAGCACCATTGCTGTTAACAGCAAGGCCTTTATAAATGGTGGCTACTTTGCTTGAATAGCAGCTCCATGGGGCAGGAATTCTTCCTCCCTTGTTCATTTAGATGGCCCCCAGTGTCTAAATTAGGGTTGGCACGTATTAGATATTCAATACGCCCACAGTAAATGCATGCTTCCTCCTTTTCCCCACCGAAGCTGACTCGGGGTGGGGCTCCCACACCAAGGCCCGCTCTTGGATGACTATCTTTGGGACAACCACATAGAAGCATACATTTGATAGGGCTTAATGCTCACTCCTCCTGATGCTCTTAGAATTTTAAGAAAATGTTGTATCGTAACAGTCAGAGAAACATTCTCCGGGGATGGAAACCCAGGATCTTAAGGAAGGCTGTGGATAAGGTTTGTTTGGACATGACATTCAAATCATATCATAATATTATGAACTTGACCAATGGGCCAGGTCAGTCCTATGACCCCTCTGCCACCCCCCTCCGCTGCTCTAGGCAGTGATGTAATGCGTGACAGTGCCATCATTCCATGGGGCTGCTGAGACACAGGTGAGCCTCCCCAGGTCCAAGGGGTGAAACCCAGCGGCTGCTGGATGGTGACCCACCTTTGTGTTGGATGTCAAATTGCCTCTGCTGCCAGAAGCTGCGGAAAGGGGCGATGCCGGTGCCTGGGCCAACCAGGATGCAGGGCACTTGGGGGTTTGGAGGCAGGTGGAAGCTGGGTGCTCTGGACAAGGAAGAGAATGTTAGCAGACTTGCTGAGGTCAAATCAGACCACGAACAATGTTTTGGGTAGACCAGATGGCTGTCTTGAAGAGAAACACCGCAGCTTGAAGCTTTTGTGACCGTTGTTTAGGGTGGGAGCCCTCGGGCTTTGGGGAATTCCAAGAACCAGAGTTTCTCAGAGCCTGAAGATCCCTGTAGGCTCCAACTCACCCCATTGCTGAGCCAAGCCGCAAAGGTGGTGGGATGGACTTAACCCAGGATTTCTCAACTCTGGCACCACTGACACTGGGGCTGGATACTTCTCTGTTGTGGGGGCTGCCCTGTGTATTGTAGGCTGTTGAGCAGCATTCCCAGCCCCTACCCACTAGATGCCAGTAGCACCCCTTGCTGTGAAACCAACAGTGTCTCCAGACATTGCCAAATGGTGCTTGGGAGACAGAACCACTTCCAGTTGAAAACCACCAACTTAACCAAACATGAGATCTCCCTGAGTCAGGGAACCACAGGAGAAAAAGAGAGGAAGAGGGACGGGGAGGGGGAAGGGCAGGGGGAGAGTGTGCACATGAAAGTACATATTCTTTTATTTGGATGCAGATAGTATTTGGACCATACCTTAAACATTCTGCCCTCAATCGTTGAGAAGAATGGTTAGCCCAGGTCACTGTGCAGGCTGAGAGGTTACTGGTTGATAATGCAGGTCTTTACAGTGGGTCTAAGCTCAGACATACCATTAAAACTGAGTTTGGGGCAAAAAGTTCAAATTGATGGGGGCACTCAGATCTTCCCCATCTCTAAGAAACTGAGAACATATGGAGATGGCCAGTAGAATGTGGATAGATTTTCCACTAGTCTGTAAATTCCATGAAAGCCAAGTCTGTATTTGCTTGGTTCTACACTGTAGCCCCCAAGATGTCACTACTGAGTCGATTTTGACACTTAGTGACCCTATAGGACAGAGTAGGAGTGCCCGTAGGGTTTCCAAGGCTGTCATCTTTACTGAAGCAGATTGCCACGTCTTTCTCCCATGGAGCAGCTGGTGGGTTCAAACTGATGACCTTTCAGTTAGCAGCCAAGCTCTTAACCACCATGCCACCAGGGCTCCTCCACTGTAGCCCCAACATCTAGCACAGTACATGCACTTAATAAATATCTGTGGCATTAGATTGACTTTGACTAGAGGATTTGCTTATTTTACCATGTTGCATGGCCCTGTTTCCTTAACAACCTGGAGTGAAGTAGGATGCTAGTCTACATCCCATCTGACCCATCCATCTCTCGGGAGCATCGAACCAATCCATCCAGCTGATCTACCCACTCCAACTCACAATGCCAGTATCCAGTCTGGGGACAGCTGCTTATTTCTCTTCATTTGTCACTTACCCTCTCACGAAACAGGGAACCACTTCGTCAGCCTGTATCCGGTTGAGCCAGGAAGAGCACACGCCATGGTGAATTGGTCCTTCTCCATCTGGCAAAACAACCAAGGTGGCTAGCTGGGCTACTGCCCCAAGCTTCCCCCACCACTGACCTTCCTCCTCCCTCTAGGACAGAAAGCTCCCAAGGGCAATGCCAAGTTTCTGCCCTGAAGCCATTGTCTACTGCCCTTGCTTTGAAAAGGAAGAAGAAAATGATCTTGCTGGTGTGAGCAGGCAGCTGTGAAGCAGACCAGGGCTCTGTTGGGTGGGAGTGGGTTGTATTCCAAACCTGCCCACTGAGAAGGTCTCAGTTAAGGTGATCTCAGTGGCTTGCCAGGACCCACATTTGAATTGCTTTCTCAGTGAGGGAAAATACAGAGCAGAGTTGGGTTACCTGACTGGCCTACAACCAGCTGGACATCACGTAGCACAGAGCTCCCCTAAAGGAATGGGGATGATGCATGTTCTAGTTGCTTCCTTGGGAGAGTATAAGGGGATCTCAGGCACTGGGAATGGCTGAGCCTTGCAAATGCACATCCAGCCTCCTTCCTAATGCTGCACAGCATTGGCTCTGCCTATAGGGACAGGTTGCCTGATTTGCTTCTTCCCTCGGTTTCCTAGTTTAGGGGCTGGACCTCCTCCCAGGGATTTGGGACTTGGCCTGTGGGCAGTAGTTCTGGCAGGCCTGCAGAGGTCCCTTGGGGGCAATGCAGACCAGGAGGCTCTCCCAGGCCTCTGCCCACCTCGGGTGCGGTAGGAGACAATGGCCACTGTGAGGTGCACCTCTTCTGGGTACATGTCTGGGGAGGAGCTGATGGAGTAGTAGCGTGGCTGCAGCAGGGACAGCTGGGTCAGGAGCAGCGTGGCAGGCATCTGGATGGACGGGAACTCCTCCAGCACCTCCACGATGGTGGGATTCTTGCCCCATTTCCATTCCTCATATTCCTGCAAACCCTGTGCCAAGGAGAAGGACAAGAGGAGAGCTGGAACCCCACTCCTGGTACTTATTCCCACTGAGGGCTGAGCAACTAGCAAGTCTTGAAATATTTCTTCCAGTGTTTATTTTCATGTTTCTAAATAATATGCACTCATTGAATTAGCCTCTTTCTGGCTTCCCACCATTCTAATCCCTTCTCCTGGATAGCAGAAGAAACCTACACCACCTTTGCTTGGGACTTGTCTACCAGGACAAAGCTCCCATGGGAGAAGCCCGAGTTCCTCCTGGGTAGGATCCTCACTGAGCAAAGCTTTGTAGCACCTTGGGGCAGATGAACCTTTGTTTTCTAAGCAAGAATGGTAGAAGCTGTGCTTGCTTCACCCTGTATCTAACAGTCCTATCTACAGGTCCTCTGATAGAAAAGACCTCATATTTAAGGCAGGGCACTATGGGATTATTTCAGCTTCTTTTTCCTCTAAGCACGAGCCAAGATGGAATGAATAGAAGATTGAGCATTTCCAAGAAAGGAAGAAAAGAGTTAAAAGAGCAATTTCCACTGTGGCCAGACAAGTTCAAAATTCAAGGGGGGTCACTCTCATTCTGTTGAGTCTTACTGAGAATAAGAGGAGGTGGTCAGGATTAACCCAAATGGACCTGCCAATATGGTGATGGTCCAGCAAATCTGAAAATGGCACCCCCTACTTCAAGACTGCCACCTACTGGAGAACTGTTGTAATAACTACATAATTCTTCAAAGACTATGAGGTGAAAGGCACTTAGCGTTATACAAAGGAGTCCCTGAGTAGCACCAATGGTTAAGTGTATGGCTACTAAGTGGAAGGTTGGTGGTTTGACTCCATCCAGAGTGACTTCAGAAGAAAGGCCTGGTAATTCACTTCTGAAAGGTCATAGCCATTGAAAAACCTACAGAGCGTAGTTCTACTCCAATATACACTGGGTCACTAAGAGCCAGAATCCTTGAAGGCAGTTGTTTTGTCTTTTTTGAAACTCAGGTTATACGAAGCCCAGGGTCCCACCTTGCTGAGGACCAGCAAACGCTGCTTCTCCTTCTCATTAGTGGCCAGGGAGGCAAACTGCTGCAGCTGCAAGGGTGTTGGTGGCGTGGTGATGTCCAGGTAGTACTTGAATGCCTGGAAGATGGTGCAGGGTGGGAGGCGGTGCTCATCTGTCCAGTTACTGATGACTCCTGTGGAGGCACAAGGGGACATGGGCACCGGGAGTGGAGAAAGGTAAGTCTGAGCTCCAAAGGCTTGGGTACAAGTCACAGAGGACAACCTGGCCCCGAGGCAGAGGGTGGGCCGGTGAGCAGGACTGTCCCACGGTCAAGCAATCACTCAGCTCTCCAGCCTTCCATGCCCTGCGTCCACACCCAGGAGCCAGCCTGGTTCCTGGATCTTACATTTCCACCCAGGTTCCAGGGACCGTGGGATTACCCCATGTGTGTAAGTAGCATATCCAAATATCAATTAGGTAAACTGGTCCAAAACTTACACAATAAAAATGAAAAGAGGAGAATATTAAAATAGCATGAGATATTCCACTGGCACCATCCAGGGACTCCAATACTTTCTAACACTTTCTGTTTACCATATATTATTCTCCATACTATATCATTAATTCATTTAATCCCTATAACAGCTCTATGTGGCAGGTGTTGTTATTATTCTTATTTTATAGATGACAAAAAAATGGAAGCACAGAGAAGTTAAGGACTTTGCCCAAAGCCACACAGCTCTACTGCATAGCCTCTGTGGATTTTTCATCCAATATGACCCCAGACACGAACCTCTACTTGGTCACCAGGGGCTCAACGCAAGACAAAAAGCTGAGTTCCAACACAGGAGGAAAAACTGGCTGGGCTAGATTTATCAAGAGATAGGTACGTCTCTCCACAGTGGTGTCTTTGCAAGGACTTTTCAGTAGGGCAAGGCTGTGAACGCTTCTCACTTTCTGCCCTGACACCTTCATAAAGGTGATGAATTACTGTATCACAGGCTGCCATGTAAGGCCACTGCATTGCCTCTCACCTGGACCCTGAGCTCACCTGTACCTACTGAGATGAAACACTGAGATCATTTGCCTCTGGAAGTATTTCCAGATCAATCCAACAGGTGGGAGGGAACCTGCTCTAGTAAGTTCAGAATTGTGGGTTCAATGCCACTGAGCTTCAGATTGTACTGTTTGATTCTAGGAGGGGTCAGGTTGGCGGGTATCAGTGATGAAGCCTATTGGGGTGGTGGAGAGGAAGGAAGCCAAGAACAGTGGCCAGTGCTAACATCAACTTCTAGCTGATGACACAGATGGAGAAAGACAGAGCCCCTCTCCTCACAATCAACCACTGACGTCCCCGCATCACAGGCTCCCTTGGCCAGCTGGGTAAATTGGTCAGCCATGGGAAAAGGCAAGTCTTCAACCTCACAAGCTGGGGCAACAGCCGGCCACTCTCCTCCCTGGACTGAAGAGCTGGCCTCCTCTTCCCCAGACTCCCACTGCCTCTGGAACTCCCTGAAGAAGAGAAAGGGCCCCCTGGGAGTTACCCAAAGCCGTGTTCCGCTCCTCCAGCATCTCCACCTTCACCAGCTGGTTGGCAGGGGGTGCGTCCTTCAGCCGCTCAATCAAGGCGTTCACCAGGTCCTCATGGTTGCCAGGGAAGACACCCAGGTGGTCTCCAGGTTGGTACTGCAGCTCCTGGTTCCCATTGGTGTGGAGCCTCACAAAGATGGTGGATCGGCTGATGGGGAAAGGTGGGGACAAACGGGACAAGGGCCACCAGTTACTGCCCCTCCCCTAACTTTGTGTGTCCACGATGGTCCGATTCCCTTCCTTCCACTCTCTGGGGGACCACACCCACCAGGCTTCTGTCATTACTCTGCATCACGGCTTTTATTAAGGTCACCCACATGCTATTCATTGCAAATCCGATGGCCATTCCCATTGCCCACCTTCACCATCCAAGCAACACTGGGTGTTGCCGCCCACTCCCTCCTTCTCAAGTCCCCTTCTCCTTGGGTTCTAGCACCTCAGGCTTCTCTGGTCACCTCTTCGGCTACTACTAGGCTGGTTCCTTCTTCTCTCCCCAAACTGTGGACGTTGGAGGCCCCACCCTCAGGGAACAATCAGACCTTTTCGTTTTTCTTTCTTCCTGGCCCTGCTTTATTTTTCTCCATTGCACTTACCGTCCTCCTGAGCCACAGTACAGTTGACTCTATTATATAGTTTATGATCTCCTTTCCTCCAAAATAAAAAAAAATAAACAAACAAACCCACTCCCGTCCAGTCTATTTCAACTCCTAGTGACCTTATAGGACAGAGTAGAACTGCTCCCTAAGGCTGTGAATCTTTATGGAAGCAAAATGCTTCATCTTTCTCCCACGGAGTAACTGGTAGGTTTGGAGCAACTGGTATGTTCGAACCACCAACCTTTTGGTTAGCAGCCAAGTGCTTAATCACTGCATCACCAGGGCTTCTCATTAGACAACATAAACTCTAAGAGATCAGGGCATTCTTCTTTTTTCTGTCCATGGATCTATCCCTGGTCCCTAGAACTGTGCATGACTATAGTAAGTGCTCAAAAAATACTTGTTGAAAGAACCTGACTCCCAGGGTAGACAACTACTAAAACACGTCTGTTCTCAGGACCCGACTAGGGTGCTGTCAGCCATCAGGCCCCATTGGAGCCACAGGCGGTTTCACCCATCTGTGAAATTCTGTCTCACCTAGTAATTCCAACCTCCATCCTGCTTCTGCAATCAGAGCCCCCAAGATTGGGACGGTGGAGGGCAACAGACACGGCTTTCAGCTCAGCTTCCTGTTATCCACAAATCCACTGAGGCTAGAAATACTGACCCATCCATCTAAGATAGAGATACCCAGAGAGAAACTCGCCTGTGGCTGCTGGGTCATACCCTAGCGATGAGATTTTTGTGTTTCTGGGGCCAGACAGCTGTGCTAACAAAGATGTCTTCAAGCTTGAATTCTCAGACTTCCTCTTCTGATCCTGCTTTTTTGTTTTAGTATGGATTTACTGCACTTTACGCAATACCTGCAAATTTTGGGATAGTTTACTCGTGGATCCCTGGAATCCTTTGCCCTCTGAGTTAAATCTGCATTTCTGATCTGCTTTTCCTTCATCCCAATTGGTCATCTGATGACAGAGACACGTGGAATTCCACACGAAGTGTCTACATTCTCCATGATATGTAAATCAACACTATAATAGTCCGATGGGACTTGCTATTTAAAGGCATTTTTTTGGCACAACCAAGAGTCCTTTTGTGCTGCAAATAGCCACCAAGATTAAAAATGGTTGTGCTAGCATATTTCGAGGGGTGTCAGTATTTTCTTAAAGCAAGGCACCTCTGCCTTCGGCATGATGGGAAACTTGATGATCTTAATTGGGAACGGCGGAGTCAGGGTCTGGGGTCCCACCTCTCCTCCTTGGGCCCTCTCTGGTGTAGTGGTTTTCTCACTTAGATGGTCTTGCATGACTTTGTCCCTGGGGAACAAAGACATCATCACCCCCTGCTGGCCCCCAGGAAGGGAATTAGCAAAGGCCAGCCGCCAGCAGGGGGCACTGTGGGGCTTCTCACTGGGGCTGGGGCCCCTCTACCCTACCCCAGGGAGCCTTTCAGAAGGCCAGGGAATCAATTCCCGCTTTCTCCCACTCATCACGATTTCAGAAGCATATTCACCTCCTGTTCCTTTGGCTGGTGCAAAATACAAACACAGAGGCCTTGAACTTGCTGAGCTGGCTCATGCTCGCAGCCACATCCCCCAGGCCCCCTGCAAGTGGCAGAAGGTGGCCAGGCAGATAAGGGGCAGGAAGGCCTGGCTGGGATGTTAGCTGGCAGGGGAGCTCCAGGGTGGGCCCAGGCTCTGCTGTGCTGGGATTTAACTGAGGGGACTTTCCAAGCAGGGCAGGGTCACCCCACCCCAGGGCACCTTGATGAGGCAGCCTTGATACTTTGCAGAGCAAGCTGGCCCCGGGGAACAAGCTGTGGGCCAGGTGTTGTGAATCTCAGCTCCCCTGGGGGTTCCACCGTAGGGTTTTCTAAACTGTTCTTTTTTAAAGGCTGGGACACACATGGACAGGCTGAGAACGAACGGGGGAGGAGGCAGAGGACAGTCCAGGATTGCAGTGGTCATATGACCCTCTGTGTCCCCTGCCCCAGAGTAGGCCCTGTGTGTGATGCATGTACACCCACAAAGCCTGGAAAACCCTATGAAGGACAGTTCTCTGACACACATGGGGTCCCCATGAGTTGGAATCAACTTGACAGCAACTAACAACAACAGAAGCATCACACCCCCACATACCCCCATCCCCACACACACTCACACCCACATACATACTCACCCCCCAGCATACACACTCACCCACCCACCCATACCCACATACATACACTCACACTCACTCACACCTACATACACACTCACATCCATATGCATAATCACCCATATACCCACTCACATCCACACACTTACACCTACACACCCATACCCACTCACACCCACACCCACACCCACACCCACACCCACACTCACACCCACACCCACACCCACACTCACACCCACACCCACACACTCTGCAGCGGTTCAATGACAGGTTCACAGATGAGAGAACAGGCTGCTAACACCCAGCATTAAAACAAGATATATTTTTTTAAAAAATAGCTAATGGTCACTCTTCAGTGCAAAGTGTGAACACTGGCCACTGCCAACAGTCTGCGTACTTTCATCTGAGAACTTTGTGTTGAGTGTCAGGCACTGCTCTAGGCACTGGTACGATGGTGATGAATAAAGACAGGAGAGTGCTCTAGTCTCACTGAGACATAACATATCAGACTGAGTTGGTGATGGGTTGGGGGCAGTGGGCTAAGTCAGAGATGATGGTCAGGGAAGCCTCTCTCGTGGTTTGTCATTGGAGCAGAGACTTGAACAATGAGGAGTCAGCATGCAACGATTTGGCAGAGGGAGCAGCAAGTGCAAAGGCCCTGGGGTAGGAACAAACGTGGCATGTTCAAGGGAGAAGGAGCTCTGGTAGGGCAGTGGTTTAAGCATTGGGCTGCTAACCAAAAGTTGGCAGTTGGAACCCACTAGGCACTCTGAGAAAGATGAGGCAGTCTGCTTCTGGAAAGATATACAGCCTTGGAAATCCTATGGGGCAGTTCTACTCTGTTCTATAGTTGTTGTTGTTGTTATGTGCTGTCGAGTCAGACCTGACTCATAGTGACCCCTCCTTGAGTTTCGGAGACAATATCACTATGGAAGTAGATTGCTTAACCTTCCTTCTGAGGAGTGGCTGGTGGGTTTGAACTGCCACACTTCTGGTTAACAGTCAAGTGCCTTAGGCACTACGCTACCAGAGCTCCTAGTTCTGTTCTATAGGGTCGCCATGAATCAGAATCGACTCTATGGCAGGTTTTCTTTTTTTTCTTTTTGGTTCAAGGACAGACAAGATGCCTTGAGTGTCTGGTAGAAGGGGGTCTGAGCATTGGCCAGGGACTAGGTCTGCCACAGCAAGGAGTTTAGAGTTTTCTCCAAGTCCAATAGGAAGCCTGGGACACGCCTGGAGGGCATTAAGCAGGGGCATGCCACGCTTTAATTTACACTATGAAAAGGCTACTCTAGCTGCTGTGTGGAGCTCTCATGGCATACTGCCTAGGCATTTGACTGCTAACCAGAAGGTTGGCAGTTCAAACCCACCAGCCACTCCGCAGAAGAAAGACTGGGCGTTCTACTTCTGTAAAGATTTACCACCCCGGAAACCCAACGGGGGTCACTGTGAGTTGGAATGGATTCAATGGCAGTGAGTTTCTTTTTTCTTTTTTTTAGCTACTGTATGGAAAATAGATCTTTGAGAGACAAGTTAAGAAACAAGGAGACAAATTGGTGGCGAGACAAGTCACCAGGACCAGAGGCAGTTGTTTTGGCCAAGGTGGCAGCCGTGGACCTGAGATGTGGTCTAATGGCAGAGCCAACAGCACCAGCTGAGAGAATGAATGTGTAGAATGCAGCAAAGAGAGCGGGGGAGGTTAACACATGAGTTTTGGGGACAGTGCCCTTTGTTACGAAGAGGAAGGCTGGAAAGACGCACTTTTAATCGGGGGGGGGGGGATAAGAATCAAGAGTTCTGTCCTGTAAAGAACTCTGTGCTGTAAGGTCCCACCACGCCCTGAAATATCCCAGAACTCAGGTCCCCTTCAGCAACATCACGATAAATGGAGAAAAGACCGAAGGTGTAAGGGATTTCATTTACTTGGATCCACAGTCAACACCCATGGAAGCAGTAGTCAGGAAATGAGACATCGTACTTCACTGGGAAAATCTGGGGCAAAAGACCTCTTTAAGGTGTTAAGAAGTAAAGATGCCATGGGATTTCCAAACACCTCTTATTCATGGTAAGGCTGGACAATGAATAAGGGAGACTGAAGAAGAGTTGATGCCTTTGAATTTGGTGTTGGCAAAGAATACCGAAATACTCATGGACTGCCAGAAGAATGAGACCTGACCTGGAGGAAGTGCAGCCAGAATGCTCCTTGGAAGTGAGAATGGCCAGGCTTCATCTCACCTACAGTGGTCATGTGGTCAGAAGGGACCATTCCCTGGAGAAGGATGTCATGGTTGGTAAAGTGGAGGGTCAGTGAAGAAGGTGAAGACTCTCAGAGAGATGGACTGACACAGTGGCTGCAATGATGGGCTCAAACACAGCAAGGGTTGCCAGGATGGTGCAGGACTAGGCAGCTTTTCACTCTGTTGTGCATGGAGTCACCATGAGTGAGAGCCGACTCGACAGCAACTAACAACACAACAGCCCCCTCGTGTCCTCCTGCACCTGCTGTCTCACCTTCCTGGATGTTCCCTTCTATTCTCTGTGCCTGCCCTGTGCCCACCAGGGCCGGCTGCTGTGGAGTTGACCCCAACATGGCACCCCCACGTGTGTCAGGGTGGAACTGTGCTCCATACGGTTTCCACTGGCTAATGGTTCACATGCAGATCTCGAGACCTTTCTGCCAAGGCATCCCTGGGAGGACTCAAACCTCCAACCATTTGATTAGCAGTGAAGGTGTTAATTGTACCACCCAGGGGCGTCTAAAGGCTTCCCCTCCCTTTGAGGCTCATCTGAAGCCCTAAGATCTCCCAGGTCCTTCTGACGTCCAAGACTTACTCTCTGCATCCCACCCATTAGCAAGCACTCCACTATACCTTCTTCAGGAGCTCTGGTGGTATAATGGTTGGAGCATTCAGCTGCTAACCAAAACGTCAGTGGTTCAGACCCACCAGCCACTCTGCACAAGAGCAATGTGGCAATCTGCTTCCATAAAGATTTACAGCCTTGGAAACCCTATGGGGCAGTTCTACTCCAAACTAAGGGTCGCTATGAGTCTGAACTGACTTGATGGCAGTGAGCCTGGCACACTTTCTTCTGTGTTGTTTGCCAATTGTTCTGTGTCCCTCAGAAAATTGATTTCCACACCAAACAGTGACTACGGTCACTCTTATCTTTAGCTTTGCAAGGATAACTGTCAAATGGCAGTCTGTTTCCTATTCAGCACTTTGCTTGCAATTAGGTGTCCCTGGTGCGGGCAAGCTGTGATACCTTGGTTGTTGCCTCCCGGCCCCAAAAGCCAGACTTGGGCAGGGGAACTGAGGCAAGTGCTATGCTGCTTCAATCAGTTATCCCTTCTTCTTCTTCCTTTTGCAGCTAGAAATGGCACTAAGGCTGCAGGCAGGTAGTGCTGCAGGACATGCTTTCAAAGAAGGGAATGATTTGGTGCTTTTTGTGCTAACCCGTAACTCATCTCGATGCCATGTTCCAGTTCCTGAGCATGCTCAGAACATGTTCTCGTGAGTCATTGTGTCCCTTCACCTTAGAGTCAGATGCCCTTTCCAGAAGTGGGCAGGGGGCTGATGGTGGGACATTGGTCCAACTTAGCATCAAAACATTGACAAGTGAACTTGCTACTATGTGCCGTGGTTTGGGTAATTTTGAGTGATTTTTGTGACCTGTTTTTTCTCAGTTTGCTAGTAGAAGAAATCTCTGGTACATTACTCGTCCCTTCTCTGCCAATGCTACTTAAGTCATACCTTACCAAAGGGCAAAGAGGGAAATGAAGTATGTGTTTCAGACACAGGTTCCTCTGCATATCAGAGATCTTTACAGTTTGCAGTTGCTGTCAAGTCCATTACATCTCATGTGACCCTGTGGCATTACGGTAAGACTGTGCTCCATGGTTTTCAATGCTAATTTTTTTGAAGTAGATTGCCACAGCTTTTTTGTGAGGTGCCCCTGGGTGGATTTGAGCCACCAACATTTTGGCTAGCAGCTCAGGATGTTAACAGTTTACACCATGCCAACATACATAGTCTCAGCCTTTCTTGCTGGCATTCCCACACTGCAGGTAAGGAAGTGGGGGTTCAGAGCCCCTGGGTGACTCATCCCACATAGCTAGTGTGTGGCAGGGTTGCCCAGCTCAAGAGCTCACTGTACCATGCTAAGCAAAGAATCGAGATTTTTCAAAACCTTCATGGGCTGTAACTGTGAGTGAAAGAGATTCTGTTCAACAGGGATTAATGCAAAGACCTTCATCAGTGTGAAAAGAATTACTTATGCAAGTGGAGGGTTAAACAGATTGGGTTGGACCATGTTGAAAAGTCTTGGATGTCTGCAAGAAGCAACACTGACTGGGATCTTAAAAGCTTGCAAATTGCCATCTAGATGCAATGATGGGCCTCTCCTCGTTTAGAGCAAAGAAGAAGGAAGAAAACAAAAAATTCATGGAAACAATTAGTCCTAGCGACTGGTATACCATCCGATCTGCAGCATATATGACTATGAGACTAGAAGAACTAGATGGTGCCTGGCTACCACTGTCAACCACTTGGAAGGTGATCTATGTAGGAGATCCTGGATAGAGAGGGAGAACAATGTGGAACAAAACTAAAAATCATTTGGAGAAAAAAAGAAGTGGGGGTGGGGGCAGGTTTGCTGATCTGATAGAGCCTGGTGGAACCACTGAGACTATGGCTCCCAGCTGCCCTTCAGATCTGGAATTGAACCCACACCTGTGGTTTCCAGCCAAGCAAAGGACAGGCATATGAGTTGAACATTTACCTGAGGTAGATACACTCCTTGGAGAGAACAATCATGGGAGAAAGAAGGGCGGCTTATGCACAGGGAGACAGCTCAGGGGACAAGAGTGTATGGAGGGATGGACACAGGGAAGAGGTAACTATCAGGAGGAAGTGGGAGGGGAGCTGTTGCATTGGGGTAAATTGCGGTCAATGTCATGAGACAAAGTGTATGTGAACTGCTGTATGGAAAGTGAATTTGCTCTGCAAATTTTCACCCAAATCACAATTAAAAAAAAAAAGAGAAGCAACGCTGAACATCTGATGGGAGAGTGCAGGGTACCAGGACTGTTATAACCATGCCTGTCCTTTTGGGCACAATTAGCACAACCTGTTCAGATGGGGGACGGTAGTAACAGCCAGGGCACTTGCCGGGAAACACCGATGACCTCTATTGTGCTGCAGCCAGGACTGGAAATGACATTCCTAGCAGGATGGAGTATGTCTTTTCACTAAAGCAAAAGGCTTAGGAAAGCAGATCTTTGGAAGAACCAATAGAAGGAATTGGGACCAACTGGTAGATTGGCCAATGTCCTTGGCTCTTTGCAGGTCTCTTATTTGGAAGAATTAGCATCGTTTTGGGTGTCATCAGAGTATAACTGGTACTGAAATGAAGGTCTAGGGAGACATGCTTTGGCTCGACGTGAAGATAATTTCTAACAGCTAGGACTTCAACAAACAGAGTGGGCTACTGTGTGAGGTAATGAACCTGCCATCATCCCAAAGGAATTTAAGCAAAGTCTGAAGAGCCATATTTCATTCCCATAGCAGAACTATCCACAAGGAGGAAATGCTTGGACTGAGTGATTTCTCACTTAGATGACAATGTACAGTGCACACTGGCAATCTACATAAGCATGAGCCACAGAGAAAGATTATCCATACCACCTTTCTCTTTCCACAATGATCACTGCCGTCTCTCTTCTATCCCTCTAGGTCAGAGGTCTGCTAAGGGAAGCCCAGAAATATTCCAGAGAAATCTGGAATATGCAGGAAACCCAAATGCTTAAACCAGCAAGGGGGTCTCATCATGTTTGTTCATCAAAACAAACAAACAAACTAACAAAACCAGTTGCCACTGAGTTGACTCCAACTCAATGACCCCATGCCTGTCAGAGTGGAACTGTGCTCCACTGAGTTTTCAATGACTGATTTTTCAGAAACAGATTTCCAGTCTTTCTTATGAAGCACCTCTGGATGGACTTGAACCACCAACCTTTCCACTAGCAGCCAAGTGCCTTCATCTTGTGCAACCCCCAGGCACTCCACCATGGTTGGAAATAGGAATCCAGTCCTTGGAGACCATAAGACCTTCCTTTCTGAGAAGTAGGTGGCATCTGGGAGCAGAAAAGAGTACCTCTCAGTGAACGAAGGTGTTCCTACCTGGATTTAGGGCTCTGAAGGTTTTGGCGGCTGAGGAGTCGAGCGGCAGAGACCCGCTTTTTGTGGACGGTGGATAGACCTGTAGGGGAAAAAAGTAACAGTCCTCCTGAGATGAGGTTAAACAATTATGAATAAAAAAAAGTCCCAGCCGAGGGTCCTCTGACCGCACTTCCACTGTCCTCTGGAGTAGAGATACAACAGGAGAGGCCAGGGAGGTGTTGGCTGGGATAGGCAGGGTGGCTGTGAGTAATACAGAATAGAAAGCACATTTGGCAGAATTCTCGCCTTTGATGCAGAAGACCTGGGTTCAATTCTTGGCCCATGCTCCTCACACGCAGCCACCATCTGTCTGTCAATGGAGGTGTGTGTGTTGCTATGTTGAACAGGTTTCAGTGGAGCTTCTAGATTAGGATGGACTAGGAAGAAAGGGCTGGAGATCTACTTCTGAGAGTCAGCCAGTGAGAGCCCTATGGGTCATAATGGTCTGAACCACAACAGACCATGGAGATGGCCCAGGACTGGACAGGGTTTCATTCTCTTGTGCATGGGGTTACCATGAGATGGGGCCAACTCGATGGTGGCTAAGAGCAACAACAAGTTGAAAAGAGGATGGTTCAGAGTGACACATAAAGGCAACTCGCAGGGGCCTGTTTTCCTGGGGGTGGGGTGGTAGCACCTTACTCATTTGGGAAAGAATGCATTAAATGGAGACAAAAGCAATACAGCCTCCTTCTCTACGTACCTTTGGAAGGTCAGATCTTCTGGCCTTCCTCTTTCCCCACTATTGTGAATGCCAGCCTAGTGAGGGTGGTGAGATGTACCTTGAGTAAGTTCTGGAGCTTCAGCCACATAGGTGAGGCGGAATTTGTTCCTCTTCCAGCTGCGGTCATTGCTGATGAGGGAGTTGTTGGCCTTCTCAATGTTGACATCATCCCCCACGCAGAACACATCACAGGCTGCCTGTGGTACACACAGGGTTTTTGCTGACATCTTTTAGCCAAGAAAGACCCTTCCCTAATGTCTCTTAGCCATGGAATGTGTACCGTCATCCATCCATCCATCCATCCATCCACCCACCCTTCTACTCATCTAGCCATCTATCTACTTACCAGCCATTCATTCATCTACCCATCCATCCATGCACCCACCAGCCAGCCAGCCACCCATCTACCCACCCACCTGCTCACCTACTCATCTACCCATCTAGCCACTATCCATCCAGCCTTTGTTTTTGAGTATCTTTAATGAGCTAGACACATCTCATTTACTCTTGAGTTCAGAACCTAACCTCTGCTTAAGATTTAACTCTATTATTGATTTTATTCCTAAAACCAACAATGTACAGAGGCTTAGCATTAAACCAGAAGGTAAATACTTTAGATTTCCCCATCCATCCTCTGTTCACCTCTAGAGATTTGAAAAAATTCTATTACAGATAGAATATATGGAATGCTTGGATGCCTGCATATAAATTTTTCTTTTTTCTTCTCTTTTTATGTCAAGCTCTTTAGTTCTCCAAACTTAGTGATCCTAAAAATTATCATTCATAATTATTTTGAGATTGAAATCCATGGGTAATACAAAATATTTTCAAGGAGATTTGTATAATATTTTGGCCTCAGATATTGATTTTAAAACCTGTACCCAAGGAAGCTGGGACCCCATGTGTAGCTTCTGTGACCTCAGCTAGTTGTAAGCTCCTTGAGGGCAGAAATGACAGATTTTCCTCCTTTGATTAAAAAATAATTGTGGCTGGGACAATTTCTTAAATCAAGCAGGTGTCAGTAAGTATTTCACAGATCCTGTAGCTAGAAGCTGAGGTGGCTTACAGGTCACCTCCTTCCTCGCTCATTTTTCAGAGTGAAATGGAGGCCCAGCAGGTGACATGCTTGCCTTGAAATCACACAGCTACTAATGACAAAGGAGCTCTGGTAGCACAGTGCCTAAGGCACTTGACTGCTAACCAGAAGGCTGGTGGTTCAAACCCACCAGCCACTCCTTGGTAGGAAGGTTGGGCAATCTACTTTCGTAGTGATACTGCCTCGGAAACTCAAGGAGGGGTTGCTATGAGTTGGGGCCGACTCGATGGCACATAACAACAACAACAACAACTAATGACAAAGTTGGGGCTGGGATCTGGGCTCCAGGCTTCCTGGCTGGTCTTCTTTACTTGGTAAATGGAGACTTCTCCCATCCAGATCCAGGCATCTGGCTCTGGCCTGACATCCTTCTAGAGCATGGACGGTAAACATCTCCCTATTTGCTGTGGGAGACTCAAAAGGGGAAGCCCACCTATTGTGCTTTCTATCCCCTGAGAATGACTTGTAAGGAGGGAGCCCTGCTTCTGGGATGCGCAACCAAGGCTGGCTGGTGGAAGATGGGAAAAAATCAATTGCTCTCCAGGTGAGAAAGCCAAGCCATCCTGACTCTTTCTCAGGGACAAAGTGCAGGAACAGGCTTATTGCCATAACCTCCTCCCCGCCCAGGTGCCTCACCTTTACCAATTGCTCTCTACCTACACCTCCTTTCAGAATGAAGAGTGTTAACTTAACGACAGAAGGTTGCCTAGTCCCCTTCCTTCTCTGTCATCATCGGCCCTGGCAACATTCATTCCAGGGGGGAAGAGCAGGAGAAGGTGGCAGGGTCCACATCCTTTGCTTTTGTTTTACTTTTCTTCCAGGATGGCCAATTTAGTGATGCCCCACAGGCAGACAGAAGGCCATTATTCATTTATTGTCCTGTGACCTTATGTCAACACTAACCAAAAACTCAAACTTACTGCCATTGAGTTGATCCCAACTCATAGTGACCCCCATTGGGTTTCTGACACAGTAAATCTTTACAGAAGTAGACTGCCCCATCTTCCTTCTGTGGAGCAGCTGGTGGGTTTGAACCACCAACCTTCTTGTTAGCAATCGCGTGCCTTAGGCACTGTGCCACCAGAGCTCCTCAAGTCTATAGCAGCCCTGTCCAATTTCATGTTTCAGATGGTAACCACTAGTCACTGGTGGCTCAAGAGCAAGTGGAATAATATCCCACCACATGGATGTATCACAACTTTTTTATCAACTCATGCTATTTAATTTTAATTACAATTTTAAAAGCCACATATTGGTCACCAAAATTCTAGAACAAGAAGAATAAGCTTGTCTCAATAGATAAATTGGTGGGCTCCATTTTACCTAGGCATGCCATGGAGGCCAAGGTGATCAACTCTGTGCCTTTGTCTATACCAAATGTGAGTGATGGATGAATTCCTTCCAGCCTTAAAATTCCAAGATATCATTTTGATGAACCAGCTCCTTGCCCATAATGGAGGACACTGGTTTCTAGGTGGAAACTGTATGTTTCTAGGCCCCTGAACTAGTCTGAGTTCTTACTGTGGGAAGTACCAGGGGACTTCCTTCCTTCCTGGGGAGAGATTCTCTCAAGTTTCTTCTATTTCTGGATGGTTTGGGTGGCCTGACTTTGGGGGTGGTGGGGAGCACCCACATGGGGCTCTGAGGGGGACAACAGTTACCTTGAAGACCTTCTTGGCCCAGGTTCTGAAAGCCTCTTCCTGCCCACAGAGCTCGTCCCCCTCCCCCATCTTCAGAATCCTCTCCCCTCCCAGCTCCTCCAGGAGGGTGTCCACAGCGTGTCCAAAGGCGCAGAAGTGAGGGTATGCCCGGGAGCCAAGGCCGAACACTGAGAACCTGCCAAGAGGACAACAAAAGGTCCGTGCTAGGGGACTGTGGAAGGGCAGGGTCCACAAGGTTCAAGTTCAGCCTTTGGGGGTCAGGGGACCCCAAGCCTATCTGTGTAAGGCCATCTTTAAATACAGGAGCTCTTGGGGCCTCCTCTTCTCCCTTCTTCTTGGTGTCTGCTAGGAGAAAATTCCCATTTAGCAATTGGTCCTGAGCCGGACCACTACCACCACCACCACCCAGTTGCTGTTGATCTGACTCTAGCTCACGGCACCCCCAAGTCTGTCAGAGTAGAATAGTGCACCATTGCATTTTCAGTGGCTGATTCATCAGAAATAGATGGCCAGGTTGTTCTTCCAAGGTACATTTGGATGGACCTGAACCACCAACCTTTCAGTTAGCAGCCAAGTGAGTTAACTGTTATTATTAGTAGCACCAAGGGGCTCCCCTGAGCTGGACAAACTGGAGGTAACAATGACCTGGAACTACTGGCTATTTCTTGTGTGCTCTTTTCTAAACTGGACTAATTGGGGAAATTTGTGTAAAGTAGTGGAAGATTTGAGTTTTATAAGTGACATAACTACATTAGTTTTAAGTACAAAGATAATGAAAACACAGTGGTCCATGGGGACCTGTGTTAATTAGGAGACCAGAAGGACTTGTCATTAATACATCAAATGTTGGTATGTAAACAGGCTCTTCTACAAGAGGATGAAAGCTTTCTAGATGTGTGGGTCCCACCCCTTGTAATGTCTGTGAAGTTAATTTGCTTAATGAACCCTCCTTGCATAATACCACCAGGAGAAATGTAGGTCCTGGTTGAACCAGTGGGGTGCAAGTTAATGAGATTTTTCTCTGTGTTGAGGTGGGGACACTTTGTCTGAAGTAAGGGAAGTGGGGGGCTGTGTCCCTCCTGTGAATTCACAGTGCTATAGACAGTCTGCACCCCACTTCCAAGGCTTGGTCCTGTCATAAGGACTGGGTTCCCTATGAGGTCTAAAAGTTTACAGATGGAACAAGAACACCCTGCCCCCTTCTTCCTGAGGAACGAGTGTGTTGTACTATTGACCATCATCTCAGATGAGTCAAGCATGAAGCTATTTAACCTATTCTATACAGGGTCTGGCCATGCCCCTGAGCAAGCCTTTTTTGGGATGATGGGGATAAGATGGCAACAGGTCAGGATGGGGGATAAGGGAAGGTGGGCAAGTTGGAAAGGCACTCTTCATCATTAGAGATTGAACTTGAGATGGGTCCAAGCATCTCACAGATCAACTGAAGCTTAACATTAATTTTAAATTCACACCTACATGGTCTCATCTCATCCTCTTCCTCCTTCCCACCCCCTGTTGCAGTAGATCCTGGCCTTTCTGAGTTAAGTGTGTGGGATTTGGCAGTATTTTTTCCCTCATCACTTCTTAACCCACAGTCTTCTTGGATCTGGATACCTCACCTTTCCCTTGCCTTACAAGTAGAGAGAGGAGGTAAACCAGGTGTGGTCTGATTTGAGGGGTGCCAAGAAAGAGTATTCCTGCTCCAAACTATCCCCCTTAGCTTTAGCCTAATACAGATTTGAAAACTATCACTGGTCTTGTGGGCAGTGGCAGTTGAGGGGTAGAATTGTTGCCTTTTATGTAGAAGACACAGGTTCAAGTCTGGGCCAAAGAATTTCCTGAGTAGCCACCACCCATCTGTACGTGGAGGCTTGGGTGTTGCTGTGATGCTGAACAGGGCCCACCAGAGCTTCCAGACTAAGGGACTAGGGAGAAAGGCCTGGAGATCTCTTTCTGAAAATCAGCCAACGCAAACCCTACAGATCACAACAGTACAATCCACAGCCAGGACTGGGCAGTGTTTGGCTCCATTGTGCACAGGGTTCCATGAGTCGGGGGCAACTCCATGGCAACAAACAGCAGGAAACACATCACGAATCATGCCTTGTGGTTAAGGCATTGTTTTTCAGACTTCCATTATTTATGTCCATATGTCCACCATATTTGATGACCACTGATACCATCATTACTTATCAGTGCTCCTTAACTCACTTTTAATTTATGCTCATTAGCTCATCATACCCAGCTCTTATTCAAAGATGTGTTCACCAACAGATGGTTCAGGCAATGGAGTCATTAATTTGCTCCCTGATGGAGCTGAGATGGGCCTCACAATTACCACAAGATGTGCATTTCCATCACAATTTTCACCTTGTGTTTTCAAATTCTCCTTTTTAAACCTCTAAGCCAGGATTGGGAAAACTTCTTATACATGACATTTTTACATAATACATGAAATATTTACATGCAGTAAAGATTTCAGGCTTTGTGGGCCAATGGGTAAAATTCAGGATGTAATACAGATACTTATATAACAAGACAGAAAACAAATTCTTGCACTTTTTTTATTGACAAAATTAAAATTGTAACAATAATTGAACACATTTTTTAAAAATATAGATCTACTAATGAGAAAAATGAAATTATTTTTTAGGGGAGGGGATAACATTTCTCTTTATTAGGGTTCAAAGATAGCGTTTTCCATTAGCAAATAGATTGTAAAAGTTCATCTGTAAAAAGCTTTATAAAAAGTTCATCTGTTAGCTTGTGGGCATTTAAACATAGGAAGTGGCCTGGCTGGGTTTGGCCCATGGGCTGAAGTTTGCAAACCCGAGTTCTAAACCATGATCTATTTAATAAGGGAAAATGGGTCTAACTGTCAAACTCCAGAACCGCCATTTTAATGTTGACCTATGAGGTCAAAAATATACTGGTGAACACGATGTATCAGCACTGAGGAACCCTGTGATCCACACAATCGAACCATTACTCTCAGCAATTATGGAGAAGGTTCAGCTAGTGAAGGTTTGAGAGGCTCAGGGAGGCCTAAAAATGCTGTCTACATCAGAGCAGTATCCATGAAACCATGGATACTAGTTTGACACCCCAGTCTTCTTTCTTTCCAAATACCCATTGAGTACACAACTTATGAAATACAGAATAATTGTTCACTGTCACCTACAATGATCTCAGAGTAGGTGACTATGGTTTGGAAAACATGGAGTTAGGCCAGCATTTTTCAAATCTGAGTGCACATTAGAGGCAACTGGGGAGATTTTAAAAGCATAGCAATGCTTGTGTCTAATTCTAGACCAATTACATCAGAATCTCTGGAGGTGAGGCTTAGGTATTGATTTAATGCAAACATGCCCAGGTGACTGTGATGTACATCCCAGGCTTGAGAACCACTGGGTCATGGCAGGGTGTTTCCAGAAGCCTTGACTGAGTGGGAAGCATATCAGTGGGGAAGGGCACCACACTGAACAACTACCATGACTTAACATGCTCCAGCACAAAAGACAGAGTGAACCCTCGTGACGAGGCTCTGAAGGAAAGTGTCCAGGAAGAGAAGTCATGGGGAGGGTCAAGAATGGAGCACAGGGAGACCAGGTAATGGGGAGGCACCAGGCAGCCAGGCTGTAGGTGGTTATATGCATCTGGTTACATTCCATGAATAGGCATGGAAAGTAGGACCTTCATTCATACAACTAAATCCAGCTCACCAAGAGCCCTAGTCTTCCCCAACCCCACGGGCCCCTTCACTCACTCACCTCACATTTGCCAGGGGTCCAGCACTCTCAAAGTTGTCTCGGAGATCGGGTCCATCACCTGATGATTTGTGAGAGTCTGAGTAGGAGGAGACACTGTTGAATCGAACCTTGTAGCTCCTGACAAAATAAAAGGAAGCCTGTGACCTCTGGCTGGAGAGCCCCCTGCTGAGGTCAACATACTTGGTAGATCTTCAAGTTACCAGCCATGGTTCTAGGACCTTGTCTTGTGTGCTGAGTGAAACCATAACACTCCTTGGCTTTTTCTAGAATGCATCAACTCACCCATCCCCACCACAGTGTTAGCTCTCCGTCCACATCTGACCTTACCTGCACTTAAAAGGTTTCTCCTAACATTTGGCTCAGAAACTTGAGACCCAGTAAATCCAAATAATTTGCTCAGTAAGAAGCCAGGAATAGAACAGAGCATCTCCTAGCCATTAGACCATGGTTCCTTGCTCCCCAAATTTTAACATGCCCAAGAATCATCCTGGGATCTTGTTAGAATGCAGGTTCTGATTCAGTAGGTCTGGAGACGGACTTGAGATTCTGCATGTCTAACAAGCCCCCTGGAGATAACGGAGGCAGTGTGGTTCCGTGGTAGAATTCTTGCCTTCCATGTGGGAGATCCAGGTTCAATTCCTGGCCAGCACATCTCATGAGCAGCCTGTCAGTGGAGGCTTGTATGTGGCTATGATGCAGGTGGTAGCAGAGCTTCCAGACTAAGACATACTTGGAAGAAAGGTCGTCAGTGAAAGCCCTATGGATCATAGTGGTCCAATCCATAATCCATCACAGGGATGACGCGGGATAAGGCAGTACTTCATTCCGTTGTGCATGGAACGTCAACATTGTACAAGGAGTGTCACCATCATCATGACTTGGGGGACAGAAGTGACAGCAGCTAACAACAACAACCCGGGAGGTGACAATGCTGCTAGTCCCAGAACCCACTTTGAGTAGCCTGGAACTTGACCTGAGTTGTCTACTATGGAGCTGTTAGCAACAAGTGGCTATTCATATTTAAAATCAAAGAAAGTAAAATATTTAGTTGCCCACTTGCAGTTGCCACAAGTGCTCACCAGCTGGGTGTGGCTAGTGGCTGCAGTATTGGGCAGCCCAGACTCAGGGTATTGACATCACCACACAACATTCTACTGGGCAGAGCTGCCCTATCCCAATCAATCTCTCCTCCCATAAGAGATATATGCTCCTATGTATCTCGAGGCTCTGCCAGTTCATAGCATGTTCACCTGGCATGCAGGAGATTGGATTTCTTAGTAAATGGTTTTGAAGGGGAAGAAAGATGTCTTTGAGGCTCAAACCTCAGCATTAGACTTGTGACTTATTTTCAATTTCCCAGTTTTCTGCTAAAAGTGTTAAGTTTTGTTCTCCGATATGAGAGAGGAATAATAATAATTAAAAAAAAAAAAAAACCCCAGAAAAACCAAAACTCAAAACAAAAATCCAACACACAAATCTAACAGCAAAAGACAAAAAAAAGGAAATTGCGTATTCTGGCCGCAGGGTTTCTAAGCTGGATGTTCTTCAAAGTTTGCTCTCCAGCATTGGGAAAGTTCTAAATATATGCACGTGTATTTTCTGCCCTAAAATAGTTTCACATTGAGTCACTTTGCCAAATAAGCCATGCAACATATCAGGGGGTGGCTGGGTTGTTAGTGTGGGAGAGATGGTTGTGGGGTAAAAATAACAGCACGTGCATTTGTATGAGGTTCTCAGTTCTCTCAAACGTTTCCTTGGTTGTTGTTATCCTCTGGTCTTCACAAGAACCCCCAGAGGTGGGCAGAGGAGGGATTATCTCTCCCCATTTCTCCAGAGAGGTCAAGCAACTTGCTTAAGGTTGCTCAGTGAGTTAGTGGCACAGCTCGGGTTAGAATTCATGTCTCCTTGAGACCATGTAGTGCCATAGCAACTCAGAGGTAACGAATTTGGCCTTGGATGCTTGGGCACTGAGCACACATGTACATACCAGCACACACACGTGCACACACACTATCAGTCTACCTTTGCTGGCTGTCACGGGCTGCAGCCAGACCTTGGACTCCTCTGTCACCACTGGGGAAGGGAGGCCCTTTACGGGGAAAGAAACGCAAGGGTTCCGGGTACCTAGAGGGGAGAATGGATGGTGCCCTATCTCTCCCTGAAGGCGGGGTGCAGGGGAACCTGCTGGGAGGCAATGCAGAGTGGGATGGGGAGGAAGGGGCAGCCAGTGAGGACTAAGGTGCTGGAGTTGGGTGCAGAACCAGAGCCGACTACAAGGGGCTCAGCTCCCGTCCATCTGGATAGTAGATGGATGAGCGTGGTAACGTGCTCAGCAAAAAGAACACCAAGAGGGACTCTCTGTATCACACAGTCTGTACACATAGCCACTTATGTCATTTGATGCCTAACTTTAGACGCAGGGATCTGCTCCAAGCTGGAGGCAACACTGTACTGGACTGTTGAAAGGCATCTGAGTGTGTAGAAGGCTTACACCCTAAACTTTATGGGGAATTTAAGGGCTTTTCAAGGGTCATTTTGATTCCAGGTGTCTTTCCACCTTACAGAATACCTTTAGAACCCAATGCCACCTTAGTTGCAATTCCACTTTTGAACATCTTCTGACTTTTCACCTTATGAACTCAACCTCTGTATTAGCTCCAGAGCATCATGAACATCAAATAGGAAAGCTTAGGGGGAGACAGCTCATTTCATTGATTTGAATGTAGGTCTCTAAAGAGGGAAAAATCATAAGACTCGATATTTAAACAGTGCTCTAACATCCCTTTCCTAATTGGATGCTTATAAATGAGAAAGGTAAGGCAGGAATTATAATCCCTATGTGACAGAAAAAGAAACTGAGGCACAAGACTGTGAGGTGATTCCGACAGGTCCTCCCAGTCAGAGGTCAAAATTTCAGCCCTCATGGGCCATCGACACTCACGAAAAGCAGTCTTCAACAGACTTTCAGTTGCAACCATCACCAAGAACTCAAAAGTGAACCTAGCTGCCAAAAGATAGTTTTCAGCTTCCCCCAGAGGGTGACAAGGGACAATGGATGGGCCATTCACTTACTTCCTCTCCTCCTGTACTGAGTTGGGATGCCTCATTTCCATCAAAGCACAGCCAAATTTCTGGAAAGAATGGGTGAACCATGTATTATTACATCTACAATAGGGTTGGCCACTGAGGGTCTAGAGTCCTAGCTGGCAAAAGAGGGTGTGATGCCTGGGAGCCAGGATGTCATAGATGGTCAAGGTCAATGGCTGGGCAGTCATGCTTGAGCTACAGAAGCCATGGAAGGGCCAGATGTTTAAAGACTACAGGCATGGCCCCTCCCATTCCCAGCACACAATTCCTCTTTGTGGCCTTTTCTCTCTAAAAATATTCTCCCCACTTTTTTCATTTGGGGTAAGGGATTCTGGCTCTTGATTGGAGTACCCATTCTAAACAAGTAGCTTACTCATGTGACAAAACTGTTACTATGGTCTGGCTAATCAAAGGAGCTCTGGTAGCGTAGTGCTTAAGGCATTTGATTGCTAACCAGAAGGCTGGTGGTTCAAACCCACCAGCCACTCCTCAGAAGGAAGACTGGGCGATTTACTTCCATAGTGATACCACCTTGGAAATCCAAGGGTGGTCTGGCTAATCAGTGGGCACTAATAGATTGAGAACTTGGAATTGTCCAATCTTTGTGTAACTTGGATACAAGTCAAAGTCAAAGTCACTGAGTAATAGGTGTAGGGAGAAGGACCTAACTGCTGCCCCCCCTTTCTTCCCACTGATGGGACCACATGCTGGAAAAGGTGTAGGCTCATCTTACCTCCCCATTCTCAGGGGGGTCTCCATTACCAAAGGTGCTAGTAACCACCAGGACCAGAGTTTCATGTTCCAGGTGCACAATGTCATATTCTTCCATGGACATCACCTAGGTGGGAGACGGAGGAGAAAAGTGGGGAGAGGAAGGAAGAAAGAAGGTGAGTTCAACCAGAAATGACCATAACCACTGAGACCAGCCCCAGGGTCTAGAAGGCTAACTTCACTGATATGTTACAAACCCATATTTTCCTGAGACTTCATCAGAGTGAAGCCAAGAACCCTTGCACCTATTAGAAATGAAAGAAAAGAAACAAGGCCCAATTATAATTTTGCCCCTGCTTCAAAAGGACCCACTGTTGCTTAAATAACACCTTTCCAGAACCCATTCCTCTTTTCTCCAACTAACTGTCCCAAAGCAGGTGACCACTATCTTTCCTGAAGTGAAGTCTTTGGTATCTCCTCTTGAGTGCCAGGCTTCCTTACTGCAGCAATTTTGTCCACTACCAGATAAAATCTTCATGAAAAATTTTATAACCTGACTCCAGAATTCCTCATTTCACATGATGAAGAGAGAGAAGTGGGAGGGGACTGAGTGACGGAGGAAAGAGAAGCAGAGAGAGAGGGAAGAGATGAGTCATCTCCAGGAAAGGAGGACCAAAAGCTCTGGGTTGTCATTATTTCAAAGGCTCAGGAGGGTGGCAGTGAAAGCTTTTTGGGAGGGTGGGACATTACTACAGTCACTGTGATCTGACCAACTGCAGAGATTTCTGGGGCAATAGTCAGGGGTTGGTAGATTTTGATGGAAACCCTTCGACCCTTGGGCTACTTATAGCCAACAGATCTGGGAATCTTCCTGACCACACTTAGGCCGGGAATGACCTGGCTGAGCCGTAAGTTAAGGACCAGGTCTGCTCAGTCTGCTCTCTAATCGTCCCACCAATAGTGTGGGGGACCTTTGCCAAACAAGTCTGAGAGGTAGCTATTCTTAGGAAAAGATTGTTGTCCTGCATCTTGACATCACTTGAACAACATTTCTCAAAGTAGGTTCTAGGGAACTTCAGTCAACTGAGATGCTCCATGAAATTCAGCAATCCACGGTCAAGGATGTTTGTTGTTCTTGTTATGTGCCGTCGAGTCGGACCCAACTCATAGCGACCCCTCCTTGGGTTTCCGAGGTGGTCTCACTACAGAAGTAGATTGTCCAACCTTCCTTCCGAGGAGTGGCTGGTGGTTTTGAACCACTAGCCTTCTGGTTAGCAGTCAAATGCCTTAGGCACTATGCTACCAGAGCTCCTAAGTATGTCTGTAGAACATTTATTTATATTCTATTCCCTTCTCTTCTGGTGGTTATAAGAAATGCTTGCAGATTAAAGGCCCTGAGAAGGACTGCAGCAAAGAAATCTGTTGAACTGTGTTTACTGCAGTTTCCAAGACTGACATGAGAATTACTTCTCATAAACCCTCGAACACTTTGGTCAAGAGATGAGGATTTAACCCTGTGATTTTTTGACCTCTAGAGGGTCTACGGGGAGAAAAGAATCACAATTCTCCAATGTTTATGCAAATGTGTATATGTGAATTTATGTACACACTAATGAGCACCATGGGATGTGCTGTTTTCCATTCTCAAAGAGTTCTTCTCTGTTGCCTTCTGTCTCTCCCATTCCCATCTTTCATCACCACGAAGAGCCCAGGAGCTGGCATGGCCCCTACCCACCTTAGCATCAAAAGCATGCTTGAAGATCTCGCACAAGGATTTGGCATAGGCCTGCGATTTGCCTGTCTCTGTGGCATAGAGGATGGTCGCTTTGACCCTCTTGGCCATTGCCTGTCCCATCAGCTTGGCCGAGAACTTGACGGCTCTGGAGGAAGAAGATGGAGAGTAAAAATGGGAAACAGAGAAGGCAGAGAAAATGCTGGGTCAGGACTTTTAGGCACGAAACATGATCTGTGAAACATAACAAGAGAGAATTTATTCTCCCTCTCTGATGGTTTCAGGGGTCCCCTTAGAGACACTTGAAGTCCCTGAGTTTAGGCACCATATTGACCCCTAGATTGCCCAGACCAGCAAGTCACAAGCTAGAACAGTTGGTTATGTTTTGGTTGCTATGTTATTAGATTGATAGACCTCAGTATTGGGGACCTTGATTTGCCAAGCATTGCCCCAAAGAATCATCATTCTTTCATTCATTTGTTTATTCAGCAAACATGTGTCAAGTGCCTAACTGGGTGCCAGGCCTTATTGCAGGAGCTGAAGAACACAGAGAACATAATTATGAACATGCCATGGGGCTTACATTCTAGAGTGTGTGTGTATGTGTGAGAGAGGAATCCGTCACTAGTAAGTCCCAAGGCATTGAGTAAGATGGGATTTTAGAGGTTATGTATTCACAAAGGAAGGGCCATGTCTGCTTAAGTCATCAATGCCTATCACACAGCTTCTTTCAGAGAGCCTGACATCAAATTGGCGCTAAATACCTATTTGTCAATGGAAGGAAGGAATTGTAAAGATGCTGCCACCAAAGCCCCCTCATTTCACACTGCCAGTGAGTTGATTCCAACTCATAGCAACCCTCTAGGACACAGCAGAACTGTCCCCATAGAATTTCCAGGGCTGTAAATCTTTAATGAAGCAGACTACCTCATCTTTCTCCGATGCAGTGGCTGGTGGGTTTGAACCACCAACCTTTTGGTTAGCAACTGAATGCCTTAACCACTGAACCACCAGACCTCCTTCTCACCAAAACCCAGGGGAGGTTAAATATCAAGTCCTAACTTTTTCTAGCAAACATGTAAAGCCAGACCAGCTTCCTTTCTGCTTCTGGAGGAGGGGGTGGCAGTCAGGCCCGAGGCTCAGGAATACCTGGGCTCAAACCCTGAGCAAGAATCTCTCTTATAACAGGAATCTAAGTGTCGACAAATTGCTAATTATGCCCCACCTGGGGATTACTGATGGTAAATTCATCATTTTTTACAATCAGGGAAGCCACCCACACAGCAGGAACGCTCTGGGATAAGAGAGAAAAACAGAAAGGAATAAAAGGTGCCTGGAGGGTTCCCTTTGAATGATCTGAGCATAAAATATGCATCTATAATTAACTCCCATTGTTTCTACTCCAAAGTTAACAGTGCAATTAATGTTTTCTCTTCCTCCCTCCCCTTGGCCCCCTGAGACAGTTGAACTGAACTGACGCCAAAGGCTGCCCTCCCAGAGAAATTGTGTGAACCTGCCTTTAGGGAAGAACAGCTGCTGATATGTGTTTGTGTGGCTGCAGGATGGGGCTGGGGTGGGAAGAGGCAGAGAGGAGAAAGGGAGAAAGAAAGGGACAGAGGATGTAAGGGAGGTGGTCAGAAAGAGAGCTCACGGGCCACATTAGTGTTGCTGGGACCAAGGAGTGAGTCCCTGAAAAGCCCATGGGTCTTGTCTCCAGGTCCAGGGTATGATGGCATTTGTTGCCCAACGAGATGCCATACACAGAGAGCTCTGGACCCAAAGAAATTGAGGGAAGAGCGGGAAAGCTCAGTGTACATCTATCTCCACTACTAGAAAGTTACCTCCAAGCCGGGTTCTCTGCTTTTTTGGATAGAAGGCCGACATCCCCATTAACCCTTCTCAGCTGGTCCCACTTTACATGTAGTTGGCTGGCCCCCTGCATGGCCAAGAGTTCTTCAGACAAATTACTGCTCAGTAGCTTTGGCCTGGCCTGTCCCCTTGGCCTAGAACCCCCTTTCTGTCCCTCTTTGCTCAGTTGAGTCTTATTCATCTCTTTGTTTAGATTAACTGTCACCTCCTCAAGGAAGCCCACCCTGACCTCCCAAGCTCGGGTGAGTTTCTATTTCACGGTACCATTGAACTTTCCCTGCATAGCACTTGTTGCAACTGCAGTGTTATCTGTATTTGTATGATTCATTTACATGCAAATGCCTGTGAGCTTCATGAGGGCAGGCACCATGTCTTGCTTCACCATGGCATTCCTAGAGCCTAATACAGTGCCTGCCATACTTATTGATGGACTAAATGAATGCGTGAATCAGGTTTGAGCCCAGCCCTGGACGACACTGCCCATTAGGCAGTAGTATGCTACAGCCAGCTCATTCCAGCTCTTCCCAACTCTCAGTTTAGGGACTTCCTGTGGGCCATGTGGTAATATTCACATGAGGGGAACTGGCAAACACTGCACATCATTGAACTCTAGTGGCACGGTGGTTAAGGCATTCAGCTGCTAACCAAAAGGTCAGTGGTATTGCTACTGCTATTACTATTATATAGAGAGCCACACCACTACCTCCAGGGCAAGAATTTAGAAAGCTGAGGTCAGGGAAGTGAGGTTGGGAAGGAGGAAAACTGTGGAAATGTTGTCATCCCAGCCTCTGAGGCACAGAAGGCACAAGAGGGTTGGAAAAAATGGAACAATTACATCATACAGGAGGTCAGAAGGGACTCGCATCAGCCCAGCCTCCTTTACTGGGGCTGTGTGTCTGTGGGTACCCCTCACCCTCCACCCACAGGAGACTCACTCTGCCAGCTTCTTGAAGCCAATGGCTCGCCGCTTTGTGGGGGTCCCATTGGTGCCTTTCCAGATGTGGGTGTTCCAAGGATCAGGCTAGAGAGAGAGAGAGAACTACGGTCACTGTGGTGAAGTGACTTTGCTTCTCCTGGGACATGCTTAAGGAACTCTAGTGGCACAGTGGTTAAGGCATTCAGCTGCTAACCAAAAGGTCAGTGGTTTGAACCCACCAGCCGCTCTGTGGGAGAAAGATGAGGCAGTCTGCTTCCATGAGATTGACAGCCTTGGAAACCCTATGGGGCAGTTCTATCCTGTCCTACAGTCTCGCTGTGGGTCAAAATTGACTCAATGGCAGTGGGCTTAGGAGATCCTTGGAGTCCCTGGTGGTACAAAGTGTTAAGCGCTCGACTACTAACTGAAAGGTTGGCAGTTTGAATCCACCCAGAGAGGCCTTGGAAGAGAGGCCTGCTATTCCACTTTTAAAAAAACCACAGCCACTGAAAACCCCATGCAGCACAGTTATACTCTGAAACACATGGGGTTGCCAAAACTCAGAATGGACCACAGGGCAACTAGTTTTTTTTTTCCATCTCAGGTTGGGGAGATGCTAAGGCCTCCCTAGGGGCTTTATGACTGCCCAGCTATGCTCCCAGTTCTGCAAGGGGGTGACTCGGTCAGTACCACCTCTCTGCACCACCCTGCCAGACCTCCACTCAGCCCTCTGCCCCTCTCTGACTCCCTCACTATTCATTCATCTCCGTTAGCCCCCCAGCTAAACCTGTGTGTCCAATACAGTAGCCACCCACCATAGATGGCTACTGAGCATCTGAAATGTGGTGAGTCTGAATTGAGACATGCTCCAAGTATAAAATATACACCCATACCAACCACTTCACAGGAAAAGAAGAAGGTAAACCATCTAATTAACAAATTTTACATTGATGATACATTGGAAGGACAATATTTTGGAGACACATCATCAGGATTAATTTCAGCTATTTTTTCTATTTACATGTGCCTATTAAAAAATTTAGGAGCTCTGGTAGCATAGTGCCTAAGGTACTTGACTGCTCACCAGAAGGCTGGAGGTTCAAACCCACCAGCCACTCCTCGGAAGGAAGGTTGGGCAATCCTACTTCCATAGTGATACTGCCTCGGAAACCCAAGGAGGG